GTGTGTGTGTGTGTGTGTGTGTGTGTGTGTGTGTGTGTGTGTGTGTGCGCACGCGCGCGCGTGCGTGTGTATGTTTAAAGGTGCACTGCCACAACACACTTCAGATTTAAAAGCTAAATACACTGTGGAACGTAAATTTGTGGAGAAAAAATGTGATCTGCATATTCATCTGTATTTGTATTTATTTAAGTTGCAGCACGCTGTGAAAAAGGTTATTATATAGAATTTTATTTATGAAATTACAGAATTGAAAAGATGCAGTTTGAAAACATCCCCTGACTCCTTTACAACTACACTTTATTTCAAGTCACTGAAACTGTAAAAGAAGTCGGTATATATATATTTTTTGTGAAACATTCATGAGATGATTTATCTAATGTCAGAATTTATTTTATCATACTGAGGGGATAGAGAGCCGGCTGGGAGCAAAGGAAGAGAGATTTACGTTTAAAATCTATAGACACAGAGTGAGAAATTACGTTTATGCAGATGTTATCTATGGCTGGATTTATGCACAACCACAATAACCAGATTGTTAAAATTCTGAAAATCTCTGTGTGTTGTTTTTGAGTCTACTTAAACAGAGAAATATGTGTTTATGTTATCAGTAATTCAGATTGGTGGCTGTGAAAAAATGTTCTGGTTATGTGTACTTTTTGTTCAACAGCACAGGTTATCATGCTTGTGGCTGACTTTCCAGCTTCTGTAGAGAGATTTAAGACTGATTATTCTGGTTCAGCTTCATCTGGTTGTGGCCCCGGCAAACGGCACCGAGCCTTGAGAGACCAGGTACACTGCCACCACATCAGTGACTTCACCGTGGAAGCTTAGAATTAGTGTCAAAGTAGAACAAATAATATGAGAGTTTAAAAGTTGCCCAAATGAATACCAACTTCCTCTTATTCTATGTCGTATGTTTTTGGAAGTTTGTAAAGAAAAAATGAAATGTTTAATAAAATGTTCCTCAATCACTTTTGCCTCAGGAAAGCACACACTAAATGCAGCATCGCAACTGAGATGTTCAATAGACGTTAGAAAATAATCGGTGCGTTTACGCAGGCGCAATAAATCAGATTTTTTTTTTTTTTAACACTTTACGACACAGATGTGATCGTACCGTGGCTGCTGTTTAACGAGAGGGATTCAGTAATAGTTGACTGACGCAGCCACGAAGGCAGAAGTAACAAGATCTGTGTCGATATGTGTAAAAAAATGTTTCTGCTCCTGTGTGAATACAGCCACTGAAGGTGACTTAAATATGCATAGCAGCAAGGGCTTATATACTACAATACTGGTCACTGATGAAAGCCATCCTTTTACTGCCCTCTAGCCAGTCGTGGTCTCTGTCTATACTCTGCATGGTGTCTGTCTATATCCTGGAGCGCAAGCTCAGACCACAGCAATCACCAGTGGGCAAAATCACCAAGCCGCGCCGCAGCCTGGTTTTTCAGAGGTGTTTGAAGCACAACATGTAGACAATAAATAGAAGGTTAAACTTCAAAATGTTAACAAATTTGAATGGCTTCTATAAGCCGCCATCTGAGAAAACCAACAGAAAAACTAGTTTTCATGAGTGCAAAAGATTTTTCTAAATACAAGGAGCTGAAACTCACAGGAACATAAAGGGTCAGATTTCCAGACATGTAGCCAAGAGAGGTTTCGTCCATCAGATCTGTGTTTTAAAAGAAGTTAAAATCTCCAAAACTCTTGACTTGTCTTTCAATCCGACATCAAGAGTCTCAGCAATAAGGTCGCATTTACACATCGCACAGTCAGAGGTTCTGATTTTCTTTACCCTTTGTGGCACTGATCTGGCATTTGCATCAGGCGTTTTTCCCGACTAAACAGCCATGAAAAGGAGAAATGACACACTTTTAGTGCCACAAAGAGTTCAGAAGAGTCGACGGCATTCAAATGCAGCTCGTGATGCTTTTGGGAAACCCTGGACTGTGTGTGTTTGTGTGTTCTTAACCAAAAAGGTAGCATCAACTGATTGTACAGTACGTAGTGTAGTAACTGTCACCACTGCTCTTGCTGTCAGTCGACGTATAGCAGGACCGGAGAAAGATTATAAAATACACAAAAGTATATTAAGAATATATTAAAAATGGTAAATGTTTCATAGGTGAGAGGTTGTAAACAGAGAGCGAGAATGTTGCAACAAACAGGAAAACGTCCATCTCTCACTGTAAAACCATCAGGGAGCGTTTATTCATCTTTCACCTGTAATGAATCTGTAAAATTCAAATACAAGTGCATGACCTGGACACCATCCCTTGACCTTTTGAACCTCCTCGACCTTTGACCTCCCACCAGTGTAAATACCAGATGAGAACCAGAGTCTGCTTTGAACAAACAACATGTAAATGAAGGACATGTTCTTTACAACATGTAAATCTCAAACATGCTAACACACCACACACACACACACACACATGCACACGGGCATGAGAGAGGCCTTTGCACACGACACAAGCTGGAGCGTATGCAAGCCTGAACCTCCCTGTCCAAACCTGTGCTTTGTGTGCATTAAAAAACAACAAAACCTACATAACAAACGAGCAGTTGTTGATTTGAATCATAAATGACAAAATTGTGTACGTATGTGGCTGGCTCGTGCAGACTGTTTATTAAGACTCGTAAAAAAAAAACAAATTGTATTCGGATATAAAAAACAAATAGATAAAAACATATTGGTCTGTGTAGAGTTTCTATACATGTTGTGTTTGTAAAATGAGATGACATCAAAAACAAAAAAAAGGGAAAATATTCTGGCTTCCATGTAATTTTTTGGGGCGATGGAGATGACGAGGGCGAGAAGGCAATGGAGACGTGTAAAAAAGAAAAAAGATATAAAATAACCCAACTGAATGAAAAAAGAGGGTGAAAATAAAATACAGAAAAAGGTCGAGAGCCTACAAATTATTACAAAGTGTTCCATTCACTGTTGTAAGTGCAATGAGCTAAACTTCCTGTTCCCCCATTGTAAAACCTTGTGTATGTTTCCGTGTATTCCTTCTGTAAATGGGTGTAGTAGACCTGGTGCATCATGCCATGTAATGTGATGAATGACAAATTATGACCTTACAATACATTTCAATCAGGAAAATAAAGAAAAGACAAATAAAAAACAAAAAAAACTTTTGTGTAAACTCTTATTTTAGTTTTTTAATCTCTGCATCCTGATTCAAAGTTTCATACATTCTAGAATAATATCATACAATCCTTGAATTCACTCTTTGTTTTAACTCGGGGTTAGTATGCATCACAAGAAACAGTAAAATATATTTCAGTGTCCTAGTTAATGTGGATGACCAGTTTAGGGACTATTTCTTGGGAAGAAAGTCAAAATCAAACTACCCAATATCTAATTTTTTCCCCAGAGATCAATACCACCATGACCAGGCTAAAGTTAAGATTCTCATTAAACTAGCTTGTTTTTCACTCGCACACATTCAGCAGGGGGACATGTTTTTCTTTGGGAAGAAAGTTGCCTTCCTCTACCTTTTTTAAACAGGTTAACGTCGTTAACATTATTAGTAACACCTGCGCTTTTCCTACTGCGACATGCTGCAGGTTCTTACTGGTCTCCTCTTGCGTTTTGCACCAGCTTCCAGTGTGGAATGAGCAGCAGCAGGTGAAGCACAGCTCTCGTGTGTGCTGACCCTGCTGTTACAGCCACACGCTAACTTGACTTTTCAAGCTATTTTTGTGCGCGTAACATTTGCAGATGTGTCATATGTTACACAGAATACTAAATGATTCCCTACTTCTGTGACACTACACATCTCAAGTCTAATTCTTTCTACTTATCAGTCAAATGAAATGTTTTATTTATATTGCCCAAAGTTAGATTTGCCTCAAAAGGCCTGACAAGAGCATGTGATTCTAACATTAGTCCCTCAATCTTTATGAAACCACACCCTCTTGTTTTATCTTGTAAGGTAAATACAAAAGAAAGACGTTTTATCTTTAATAATCAGTTTTAATCAATTGTTTTTTTACAGCTGTCACACTGAAGACTGCAGTCAATAGTGAAAACTGGTTGATATTGTGTGTGTTTTGACTCAGTAATCAGAGTATTCATTTCATTTTAAGAAAGAAAAAAAGGAGATGAGGTTATGAACTGAAATTAGGATTTTATTAGTTGACATTTCCCCCGGTACATTAATCTCAAGTTGTCCACAGATTGGATATGACCCCTTACAGTCCCCCACCTGAAAATAAAACAGCTGGTACTATGTTCTCACCAACAATTGCTTAAATACTATAAAAAATAAATCAATTGCACAAAATAATTTGCCATTTTGCTTGTAATTACTTCTGTGCAGCACTTGTACACACGTACAACATTGACAACCCTGTGATACGGTCCAGGAGAAGGCGGGTCGAACTCAACGGAAAGAACCAACAGAGACCTAGCTTAATGAGCGTTAGTCTATTGTAGCCACTCACACCAGTTCACCAGCTTTACAGTCAACTTTGTTCCTGTTTCGTTCATTTACGACCGGAGCATTCGGCCGGTGTGAAGTTCAACTTAAGTAGTGTTTATGTGATTGATTTTTAATTACTCTATTCATGACAAATCTACCTACACACTGTACTGGCTAGTAAATCTGACCGCAGTAACGTGTACGAGTGTTAAACTGGTGAGTGACGTTCGCTTCAAGCCCTGATCACGCGCTCTGCTCCTCTATGAAACAGCTCAGATTCAATCATTAAATTAAGCGCTGTTTGAATTAGCTACATAAGCAAAAGAAAAAAAAAATCACAACAGAATTATTTCATAAAACCTCAAACATCATAAATAATAAAAAATACACAGAAAACAAGGGAATGAAAAAGGAAGCACTAAGCTTGACAGAGTTAAGTTGTTTTTTTAAACACACAAACCAAAAGTTAAGTTGATACAAGATGTGTAGTCCCCAAGACGTTGTAAGAATGTCCAATCATTTGGAATATATTAAGATACACTAAGAAGGCAAAGTCAATATTTGGAGATACAGCTGACTATTGAAGCAGAGAGGCTCACGATGTGCGTTTGTGTCGTTGGTGTAACCCGACTGTACAACAGCTCAGACGTGCTCCGTTCACGTCGAGGTGCAAACGTTGCATAGTTGGTGCTGTGACATACATCACAGCTCCTAAATGCACTGACAGCCGAGATATTTGAACAGCGGGGAACACAAAGCAGGAAAATGGGAGATTTCTGAGGATCACGAACGGCAGCTCAACTTTCTCTATAGTTACTTAAAGCAACCTAGAAGATCATTTACCATCATTTCTTTTCAACAAAAGCTCTTAAAACTGGTCATTTTTTTCTTTGTCAAAATCATTCTCACCTGTGCAAACAGGTCTGCAGGGAATGTGAAGAGTTGAAACCGGTTCATCGTACGTTTCTCTAATTAAAATCACGAGAGCGAAGCAGCAGATAAAGGGACTTTTAAGGAAAACTCACAGTGGAGTTTCTGTACAAATACTAGATGTCCGGTCGGCACAGCTGTGCGACGCTCCCTCTCAGGAGCACCATCTCTTTTCTTTGTGCTAACATTCATTAGAGTACTTTTCACTTTTCTTTGCCAAACTCTTGACTCTCTGTTGATAAGCGGCTCCTTTTTACTACAATCAGTATCAGAAGAACGAACATGGACGGATGATGAGACAACAGACCGCTGGGCCCTCCTGTGTGGGGGGCAAGACGACCAGGACAGGTGTGTGTGTGTGTGTGTGTGTGTGTGTGTGTGTGTAGTTTTTTGTTGTGGTAACTTTACCTCTGTAGTTGTTTTGTGTTGCTTTGTAGTCATTTTACATCTCAGTGAGTTTTGCAGGCGACCTCTAAACATCAAATCTCTAACATCTGATCCAGCCGCACAGCAACATCTAACATAGCATGTTACAGTACATTACGCCGACATGAATAATGTTTTCTTATTCTATAATCGTGCCTTCATGAGTGAGATTAATAGTAATGTAAAATCTTCACATTGTCAAATTCCCATCACTCACACAGCAAATTCTCTCCCTCTCTAGTAGTTAATATGGCTTAATAAGCGTCTGTGCATTATTTATACACTCATTCACACGAGGAATGTAATGGGGTGGACTCACTGAGGGCCGTTCTTCATACTGTACAATGCTACTTTAACAGCGTCATCGGTGAACCTGTGCTCTGTTCATTCATGTGTTGCCCTGTAGGAGAACATCAGAGGGGGTTTCTTTTCTGATCCCAGGTCTGGTCTCACTCCAGCTGCACATTCCACTCTGCTGTCGAGGAAACACCCGTAGTTCTAGTAGTAGGCTTATTTCAATACATAAACCTTAAGCAGGAGGTCAATGGGAGGCTAACAGTGGACACTAAATGTTTTAGGGATACAACACATGGATGCATTCGATTTATCTTGACCGGTTAAATCAGTATTTAAACTAGTATTTCTTTATAGTTTTGTTCCTTAAAGAGTACTCATATTTATTTTCTGAGCTTTTTAAAAAGAAAAAAAAAAAAAAGAAAAAGCATCCTCAAGATTCATCTTCAGTCAAGGAGCGTTCACATCCCTGATTCCCCTGCTGACTGGGTGTCCGTCCATGAATCCACCAATGTGATTATTATGTTTTACTTCATGTTGCTGCAGCTCGTATTCACTCATTAATGACACACGTGAGGGTTTTCAAAGTGTCGTCTTCGTCCGGAGGCTCGGCAGGTGGTGAGGGTTTGATTGTGAAGACGTTTAAACATTCAGATCTGAGGGTTTGTGGGCCGTTAATTGTCGTACCAGCTCTCTGCAGAAATAAAATGGTTCTTGTGCCCTAAGCGATGCCATGGGCAGAGAGATGGGAAACATGTGCTGGTCGTTATGTGATGTGAAACCACAAATGATGAGAATAAGACTGGAAGTGAAGATTTAAAAAAAAAAATAAATAAATAAAAAAAAAAAGACCTGAAGACTTAGTCGTCATCAAGCAGGCAGCTGTTTAAGAGGAGTGACGGGTATTTGGATCCTTTGTAAGTCTTTCCACTCTGTGCTGGGTGTGTCGGTTTAAAGACGACAATGATGATGATGATGAAGATGAAGATGGGTATGTGGATTCTTAACAATTCTCTCCATGTCGTGACAGACAGGTCATTGTAGAGGAGGAGGCGGATGAAGGCTAGCGGGCTTTCAGTAGATATCAGGCAGGTCTTGGTAGTTCCTATTGAAGTAGCCGCCGGTGTAAAGCCAGCCCTGGGAGTTGGTATACGGGTTGGTGCCCATCTGAAACCACCTGACAGACACAAAGAGATTAACAACTGCAGAATTGACCTGCTCCATGCATCGCAACATGTGCAGTGCAATACAAAGAGGCTTGGTTTTCGGCACAAAGGACGTGCATCAAGCTTTGAGCAAGCAAAACACGAAGAGCATAGCGGGTTTGTTTCCCCCGGTAGCTATCCCCAGTTACCAGAGTATCAATGTTACTTCTTTTCAATTACTATCCCCAGTAGTGGAAATGGTGAACGGTGGATGATATATGCTCATTTGAAAAATCGTGCCTATTACCACTTTTAGTAACGTCTTCACATCACACTAACAAAGCTCTTTTAACTTGCTCGGTAAGATAAGAAGAAGTGTTTGTTCTGAAAGCTCACAGCAACATTGCCATGTGATGTTTGTACCACGTGAATGTTTAATTGAACGTTTCCCACCTGGTAGACCACTCCTCCTCATTCTTGGCTCTCTCCTTTCTGGACGCTCTCTGTTTCTCCTCCAGTCTCTCCTTCTCCCGGCTGGCCTCATCTGCAGGAGAACAACACACACACAACGTCTGTGGATTGTAGCATTTATCACAGTAGAACATATTCATAATTTCAAGGTAGTTAAGTGGTTTGCATCTTTCTTTCTTTACGGATCACTCGCTGAGATCAGCAAGACGTCATGAGACGGTGACACAGACACCCAGCAGGTGGCAGCATTGTCTTATTTCTGTCTATTCTTTGTATCGCACCAGAAGTCACGAAAGACACCAGACATTCAGTTGCATTTTTCAGCAGCAGATAGTAGCATCACAGCAAAGTGTTTGTTTTCTTTCCAATTACTGAGAGAATAATCTGTTCCATCAGTCAGATGTAACTTCTGATCATACTTTTATCTTTGAAGGTTTCTGCAGGGCACTGCTGCCAAACCGGGCAAACAGAACTCCACTGATAAGGGACTTTTTTTTTTTAAATCAAATTACCCATGATGCCATTCTCCATGGCTCTGATGTCCGGCCTGAGGCGACAGTCTGTGGGGGCCACGTTGGCCTCCATGCCGGGCTCCAGCTCATTGAGAGACATGGCAAAGTTGGTGAAGTTGTACATCTGGGGGAAGGAAGAGAGGAAGTTATGGATATCGAGTGCGTTTGTGTTTGTAAATGGATTTATCTGGCATGACTTATAGCTGTTCTACCACTGACTAAAGTCACAAAGAGTGTTCTGCCACTTGATTTAAAATAGCTCATAAAGTGCTTTTTGGTTTTCCAGCTTGGTGTTATGTATGTGTGTTTATTTTATTTTCATACCTCAGCAGAGTGTGCCGGTCTGGAGTCTATCCTCCACAGCAGAGTGCTTCCTGGTACAACAGAAACCGTCTCCTGTACTTCGGGCATGTCGTCTGCGTCATCGTTCTCCGCTCCCTCCTGCTCCTCCTGGAAACAACACACTTCATTGTCACTGCTGTTAAAATCTATTTGCTCAGGGCTAAATGACCCCTTAGGTCACAATAGAAGTGACTTTGTTTGAACTTTATCTACAGGAAGCGTTGTGTCACCACCTGTCTTGCTTCAATAGAGTTTGTTCGGAAAGGTATGTTGCAGATATTATGCTTTACTACAAAATATCAAATAGACTAAAGCTGAATAGCTGAAGACCTCCGCGACAGCCTACAGAAGCCTGTTGGTTTACCTGGATGAGACCAGAACGCTGTGGACGTCATCAGGAAATAAATGGGACTAAGACCACTTTTCACTCACAAGCAGTTCAATAATATTCAGAATGTGGGAGAAATAAAAGCAATACAGGTGCCAGTTCCACAGATTTTCTCACTTGTTCTCACATTTTTCTGCTTCTTGTTGTCTCCTCTCCTCTCCGACTTCTTGTGGGCCTCGTAGGCCTGAGCGTCGACGCTCCACATGCACTCGGTCCACTTCCCATAGATGACACAGTGCTTCTTTTTACTGGAGAGAGAGAGACAGTCAGAGCACCGAAGAGAGAAGAGTAAGTAGAGGAAGAATTGGGCAAGATGGGGAAACGAGAGAGAGAAGATGAAAGGCAGGAGAGACAAGAAGTGGAGAAGAAAGAAGAAACAGTTTGAGGAAGAAGAATTTAGAGGAAGAGGTGCACAGAGGAGACGAGTAAGAACCAGATTAGTATAACAACTTTGTAAATATCACATGCTATGATATGAGAGAATATACTGTACATGCTGTAGGTGACATCACAGATCGTTACTAACCTCTTATCCTGGATGTATCCCTCCACTTTGTGCAGCTCTTTGCCAAACATCCCACAGGGCTTGAAATTCAACACACACTTGTCTCCAGTGCTGCAGGAGAAAAGAGGAGAGAAGAAGAAATAATCAGCATTTCTTCCTTTGTTTTTCCCAGTAAACGTTGAACTTTTACAGTCTGACCTGGCAATGAAAATGTGATTTTGGGCGATACAAAATAAATTGAATTAAAAATGAAATGTCAATCGAGCTTTCCCTGTTGTCCATGTGACAACAGGGAAAGCTCAGCTCCAGCAAATTGTGCAAGACTGAGATTTGACTGCTTCACAGCTCCTTGAATGCGTGCTACAGTGTGACTATGACACAACGCGTGGTGACGGAAATAAGACTAAAACAAGCCCTGCAGAGCTTCCCTGGACAAACAAAGGTTCAAAAAGAGACCAGAGGATTGTTTGCCTGAGAAGACATGCAGAGAGCAAACAAGCTGCAGTCTGAAGTATCAGAGTCAACGCAGGAGTCGGGCAGATATCACAGTGTTAACACAGTTTAAATGCATTTTATTTGAACTCGACTGTGGTTCAGTTTCCTCCAAAGAACTGAGGAGTCAGAACTCTACACAACCACGGGTGAAGACTGGGGGGAGTGTGTGTGTGAGGCTCAATGATGTAGTAGTCGCTCTTGAGCACCAATAAAGGTCAATCAGCTCCATTGATGACTACAATCCCCTTTAAATTACCTTTATTGGATATTAGAGTCACAGAAAATAAGCTTCTTTCATATATTAATATGTGTCTAATTATACAACACTGTGTTTGGGTCACCATATGTTTACCATGTCAGTTTTGTTTCCAATAAACTGCACTTATCTCTACAAATGAAAAGCTAATGAACATGAAAAAGAACTACATCTCCCACACGTAGTTTACCTGTGGTTGAGGATTTCCACTGTGCCGTACTGCTCGATCCATAGCTTGCCCAGGATGATGTTGTGCACACAGCAGTAAGGGTTACTCCATGTGTACGCCTCGTTGTGCCTGGGGGAGAGGAGAGAAAAGAGGAAGGGATGAAGGGCACGGAAGAATAGAGAAGAAGAAAATGACATGAAAGAATGACAGAGGGGACAAAAGAGGGAGAGGCAGAACATTGGGGAGAGGAAATAAATAGAAGATGAGGCAGTGATTTTAGATCACAAAGCTGTGATATGAACACGCTCTCTTTTGGACTCACTTGAGTAACTCTAGTGTGATGGTCCCTTTGGGCTCAGCCTCAACGCTCTTGCCCCAGAACTTAAGTTTGGGGTAGATGGAGCCGTGGAAGACGAAGTCCCCGACCAGACTCTCTGCATGGAAGGCACTGACTGGGGGATGATGGGATACCTGCTCCGACACCAGCCGGAAACCCTGATCCTCTCTGTAGAGGGAGAAGAGGGAGGATCAATGAAGTGCTAAAACTGGGTGAACTTAAAAAGAGTGTTTTGCGTGTATGTGTGTGTGTGTGTGTGTGTGTGTGTGTGTGTGTGTGTGTACCTTGTGAGCTCATAGGTCTCTCCCAGCAGAGGGTTGAAGGGTTTTCCAGTTCTGTCCCACTGAGACGCAACTGCTGACACAGCAAAAGCAGCTACTGCCTGAAGACACACAATTTACGGAACATGTTAGGGAGTGTGTGACATGACAATGTCTATATGTGTGTGTGTGTTGCATGTTCTCATTTTAATCCTTTGCAGCTGGGCTTAGTCCATAAGTGTGTGTGTGTGTGTGTGTGTCTGACCTGCATGCGCTGTATGGAGTCGGGCAGAGAGCAGGCTCTGTTGATGAGGTAAGTGTGGTCCATGTATTCGGTGATTCTCTGCAGGAAGCTCAGAGGCTCGTTGAAGGCGATGGGCATCGTGATCTTTGAGAGTTCCTGTGAGAAGTGCAACATGAAGTCCGTATTTTACATTTCACCAACAGAACAACATTCCACATCATTTGAACTTCTGCAACTGAAAAGAGAAACCGTCGATTGTAATAAACAGGGTAACGCGATCTTATGGACTGAACCGATGAGAAACACTACACAGTCAATCCTTACCAGTCCAATGCATTTCTTCAGGATGTTCCAGATACTGACAGTGGTTCTCGAAAACATGGCGGCAGGTAATGACGTCCTGAAATGAAAGCAAGACATTCAACTAAACTCTGTCATCATATTCTGATGATTGTGGACAGATTTGTCATCGAGGCCCTCTCTCCTAGGAGTGAATGGACAAGTGGTGCATTTCCACACAGTGTGTCTTCACTGCAATGAAATAGCAGACAGCAAGGTCAGTCCCCCACTGACAGCTATAAGCTCCTATCTCCTATCTCCTTCTCTTGTTTCTTTTTTGCTAACGTTAGTGGCGACATGATCATATTTCACATCTTTGTGAATAATAATCACACCACACTTATGTGATGAAACCGAGTAATAAAGGTCCCGGGGGCGTATTCTTTCAGCTTCCTAGTACCAAGAGTTGCTGATCGTGACAAAATTGTTAGACGTTTTCTAAGAATTTCCTCTTACAGTTAAGATGAGATCCTGGTAAGAGCTTTAATGTGAAAAACTGTTAGGAGGAAGGAGGAGGACTTATAAGAGAGTTTCTTCAGCAGAGGAGATGGTGGACAGACAGAGAGGAAGGAGAAATATTCCCCAAAACACTGAGTGACACTGAGCCAATGAAACGCTACAGATCAGATGGTGAAGGGATGATGTTTGTCGTTGATCTCAGAGATGCGCTCGCATCTCCCGCCCAATGCAACAATGCCAAAAATGAAGGTGATCACAACACTTAACATTTATTTTTAAGCCTGTGTTCCAGACATTTTGTAGGCTCATTTTAAAGTCTGCCTTTGGCTTACAATGTAATGAACAGAGATGTTTCATATAATAGTTTTCTTGATCACAACATGTATGGATATAGAGACCAAATTATATGACGAGACCTTTTGATTTCACTGTCCATTTCATCACGCCTCTTTAAAAGAATGCCTCATACGTAACAACGAGGTCAACCACACCTCACTACGGTAAACGTTTCTGTCCTTTCCTTGTTTCCTCAATCAGCCCTAACCTACCTGAGAACCCTTCACTACAGTACAACACCAGTGTGTCCTTCTGTCCTTTCTACAGATTGCCACATGTACTGTCACAAAGCTGCCTCTTAAGTTAACTTGCTCAATTTTTACCTTACAGCTTCCAATTACTGTAAAAATGGCAGCAGGGTTTATCAAACAAACATCCAACCCAAACCAGTAAGAGTTAATGACCCTGGCCAACACACTGTACTGGTTCCAGTGGGAGGCTTGCAAGACTTTCTGGCGACAAACAAACAAATAACACAGCGCAGATGGAAGGCGGTGCAGGAATGCAGCAGTACCGGTGCTTCTTGATGCCGTTCTCCTGTGGCACCGACCCGTTGTTCTTCTGGCTGCTGCCGTCAAACACCAGCGCATCTTTGAAACTGGCCTCCGACACCCCTTCATAGGACTCGTCAGAATCCAGGCCTGTGGGACAGCAAACGCTCACGGTTACAACAAATCCTGCGACGTGACACATCAGGCTTTTTTAAATATTTTGCTGCCAGTTAATATGGGATCAAATGTAAATATTACACTGGGACTGTTTAATGTCGCTACATGCATTTGCATACATTTTTGCATCAGGAGCTCATGTTTGACTGGCAAATGTTATTGATTGCCTGTAACTGTTTACACTGACAAACCTCTTCGCTGACACAGCACCAGGTCACTTTGATCAACACTCTGATACTAAGTCCCTTTTATTTTAATACATTGTCAAGATTCCAAAGTTTCAACATACAGCATATGCCCGGCTAAGTGTGGTGTTTCAATATCCCGTCTACCTTTTTACTATTTGTTGTAAATAAAGCTGCATTACTACAGGAAACCTGCATGTGATTAAATAAGCAGTAGCTGTTCATGAGAATACGTGCTGGCGTTGACCTCCACCCATGTGGTAGCAGAACATCAACAAAGCAGGAGCATTAAGTGCTGCAGGGTGGAGGCGTGATGGCCTCGAGGTGGGGCCTTAACAACAGCTTAAAATAGACCGAGTCGTTTATCGTCATTTGTTAAACACGCCTACTCAGCAGTGTGTCAAAGGTACCAGCTGAGTATTGTTACCATATCAGGTGAGCTATTTCTAACATGAATAATATGGAAAGAGGAACGTTTGCTGCTAATCTGCATGTATACATTTATTATATACTGCAAACAGCAGTTTGATCATATTCTCCAAGCCTCTGTCGCTGTCATGAAGCTAACGAGGAGCAGAGCTCTGTGATGAAAGGATAATAATGTTGTCTTGCTTTCTGCAACTCATCGTTGGACTTGAAGCTTTTAAAGGACTTTAAGGAAATAGACATTTTAATCAAATCCCAGTGAAAACCATAAATAAGAGGTCCAATGAGGAAGAAAGACTCGACAATAAGGCCAAGCTGGAAGCCACCTGGCGCTGATCACAGCTAACCCTGTGCACATGTACCGATGAATAATACATCTGCCCTGGTCTGCATCTGTCTCAGATCAGTAAGACGATCATAACGATGACACAGACACGCTTGAATCTTTTATTTATATCTGCATGAAAAAAAAAAAAACCTGCGTAAGAGCGAACAATGGCTGTGCGTCAACATGGACGCCTAGCAATATTGTGCAACACGTACACAACGGGCAGTGATGGTACAAAAACAATGGTGCTCATAATTACTGACGGAGAACAACTCCCTGATCTGCCCCGCCCTTCCACCCAACATGAACACGTTTAACGCTACTGAAGGGACACGAGAGCAAAGTAACTTTAATGTTTCTATCGCAGTAAAATGTTCACCGCCGCCAAAATCCACGTCGTCTACATGCTCTTATTTCTTATAATCATATCCCAGGATTCATTGCTGCTCTCACCACTGTACGACTTTTACTTCCGGGTTTTTCAGCAAGTTCCATAACCGAAGGAAGGAAGGATTGCTCTCCGAAAAAAAACACACGTGTTCAAAGTTCATCCCTCCACAGTCTGACGAGTCAGACCCCCGGAAAGCTCGTCAAGCTCCGCCTCTCATAGTAAATAGTCATGAGGACACTGGAGGGACACAACACTCACGTACAACCTACTCGTGAGACAACTCAACTCTATTTTTTTCTATTTTGTAGTTAGCTAATGCATGGTATCAGGCCCTTCATGGCAACTGTAACATTAGCATGCATGGCATCCCAGGAGTGTTGACTTGGATGACTACTCGTCTAATCTCTCTACAGTAGCAGAAATATGAAACCAATAAATCATAAATACAAGTCAGGATGTATTTAACGGCCATCCTCAAATGGAGATATCAGATAAAGTGTTACGTGCTGATTGTTGGATAAAATAAATATGTTCCTCTGTAATTGAGCACTGTTGTGTGTTGCTGATTGCTGATCATGACCGCAAGACAGCAGACCTCTGAATTATTGAACCTATCATTAGAGTAAGGCAGGTTAAGTTCTATTGGATGCTATTATGCTTCTATGATGGAAACAAAAACAGACCATCTAATTAGGAATGACGGGGCCACAATCTCTGACGACAAAATGAGATCCTAACAAACATAATCAATACATACGTTTGGTCTGTTGAGATCAAGAATAACAGCATTAGTGATTTGTCTCTCTGAGGAAGAACTTTCTACTTTTGAACGCGCACAGAAAACTCAGTTCAAACTGCTGCAGCGTTTTCTCTTTTCTTTTTGAGAAAGATCTTAAGACCATCCGCAAAATACAAACCAGCACACACACACACACACATACCTGTGACGGCGTCGTAGAACTCATCCTCATTGTTCATCTTCTAGAGTCAAAGGCGACCAGTCGTTGAGGACGGGTGAACTTCTAGCACATGTTCCTTTCGGGGGGGGCGATCCCTCAGAGTCCCTCTGGAGTGTCACCACGGAAAACAGCACAACGTTCGGTCAATACCCAGGAAACGTCCAAAACGTAGTGCGACGACGATTTTGGGCAGATGCTTTGAACCGGAGAAGTGTAACACCAGGAGACGTCAGTCAGAGCAAATCTGCTGTTTGAGTCACCGACAGCACAGGTGATGTAACGTCTGAGTTCTGGTTGTGTTTCTTTGGCTTCGATGAGAAGATGATTAGTGACCTGTAGAGACAAAGGACAACAAAACACAATTCTTGAGTCTCTACTGGTGTTATTTTAAGTTTTCAGATGACACAAATGGTCCTTCCCAGCGATCTAGGCTACCAGCTAAAACAGATCAGCTTAGTCTGGCTGAGTGACAGTCTTGTCCATCATGGCCCACTGACTGCAAACAGAGAGTTTTCTAGTCCAGTAGTTACATAACGGGGACACCACTGCAACAGTTACCTCCTGTCTGGCTCTTCGTCCCCAAATGGCCTTTCATTATCAAATTCCAAAAATACAAAAAAGGTCAAATTTCGATACATAGTTACAAGCGATTCGTTACAAAATGAAATGGCATGACGTTAAGATTCAAGGCTGAAACCACAAGTTCAAAATTAGCATTGAGCAATAACTGCTGGAATGCTTCAATGGCTGCCTTTGACGGGGGTTTTTTGGACCATGTAGGAAACAGGCTTCTGTTTGGCTGCTTGTTTTAGCTTTTTAAAAGCACAACATTTCGCCTTTGATTGAACTTGTGCTTCACAGCGCTATGCGTAGACGACCCTTTCTTATCCGGTTGAATGTCGGTGAGTAACGGTGACAATCAGTGAAGGTGGAACCATATTTCAGTTTAACCCCTTCACATACAGACGTGATTAAACAGAAACATGAGTATATAAAGCAGTCAGTCAGTCACACATAAAAAGCTTTTGGAAGGAAATGCTTCACTGTGCTGGCAGCAGATCACATTGTTCTGCTGTTTAAAAAAAGCTAATATTTCCTTTCTAGCATGTACTCATTGTTTGGGATCACTGCCCACTTCACAGTGACTCAGAATAAATACACATGATTTCCGCATTTGTTTCTCTCACCACTATGACCAACATGCCGGACGTCACACCAAACTGGCATGAAACACTTTCCTCTCTTTTCTGACACACAGTACAGCTAAATCCAGTTCTTCATGTTCTTGATCTTCAGTTATACATCATGGCTAAAGGCCCTAAACATCACAACTACAGCTGGATATCAAATATGTTTTGGGACCAAAATGCATTGAGCGGTCGGACGTAATTTTGTTAATTGAATCTAGAATAAACGCCTCACGGTTGTATGCCTCCGTCTACCAGTCAAGTTGTACTTCAGATCCGTGTCTTTCCAAAATGTCAGAGCTTCATCATTTGATCCTATTACGCATTTGTTTTGAAATTGTCATAATTAGCTTATAGCCAAAAATGTGACCTTTGACCACAAGAATCTGATCTGATCAGAGCCCGAGTGGATGTTTGTGCCACTTTTGAAGAGATTCCCTCAAGGCGTTCCTGAGATTGCAGGTTCACAGGAATGGAGCGTACATGTGTACGGACAGACAACCCAAAAATATAACACTTCCGGCCGCGGCTGTAGCCGGTGCGGGAGCATAAAAAGACGTGTTCATATTCCTCTAACTGGGTGAAAAATATATTGTTTTGGTATCAGTCCCAAAGCTGAGCAAGTTTACAAAAACTAATACCAAAACCCCAATCATGACGTAACCTCAGTGCATTTATTTAATTCTTATATTCATTTTTTTTTTTTTGGGTCAAGTCTCTATTCACAGCCTCTGAATTTAAAGTCTAAAGTTTTATTGTCATTTGGCTCCTCCATTATTTCAAACAGCTTTCAGGCTCTTAGTTGTTTGTGAATGTAGTTCCGAAAATTCTAGGAACGACGCCTCATCATTCCCGATTTAGACGATATCACTTAATGTCATCTGCACTGGAAACACTGAACGATTATCACACTCTCTACATTTGTCAGCATTACAAAGTCTGTACATACCTGCAGTGAAACTAAATCCAAAAAGAGACTTGTTCTCTCTGCCTTATTCTACTCAGTGGAAGGGTTCCTATCTCTCCCAGTGGTAGGGAACGCCTTCAGCACACAAGTGAACTCTGGCCTCGGTGTTCTCAACAGATAAGGTGGACAGAATGACAAATTGGTTTTCAATTCTTCCAACAGCTAATTTAAAATCCGACCTTAAGTTTTATTATTTAAATCTATCGTGGTGTTAAGTGTCAGAAATGTGTCTCCTGAGTCTGTGGACACAAAGACTGATTTTCACAAATTGTTGGTCGCTTCTTAAGTCCGGTTTGTGTGCCAAAACATGACCAAAGCCTAATTGTGATAACCCTTATCCCGCCTTTTTTTATCAGCGCTTTAGTATTCATGTTCTTTAAAGATCATGAAAATCTACGTAAAAAATAAACAGGAAACAAGTTTTATTTTCTGAATAGTGGTGATATTCTACCATTATGCAGAAAGTTTGACGTTTGAACTTAATATCAGAGCAAACTAAAACCTCTGATAGGCTGAAACGGAGCCGTTTTATTTGTGCAAAGTAAATACTCTTTAGGTCTTTTTGCAGCAGCTACTGAGACCACGAGATCATCTTCAGAACAGAAATGGCAGACGAGTGTGTGCAGGCTTCAAGTCACTAAATATAAGAAAAAATAATATTTCAGAGCACGGCATCTGGCAGACAAATAGCAAGTTCTGCCAAACTGTCTGTCTGTGAATAAAGCAAACACGGCTGAAGATCTGATTTGCATGAGTTACAGGACCAGCATGTACTCATATATGGAAATATGGAGCATGAACATCTGCCCAGCTGCACTCCCTCAGTTAAACTCCTCACTCATCTCAACAGCATTATTGCATTATTGCTCTCATACAACAGACTAACTTACCAGTTCTGACACTCATGTTCATATAACACACTACGCATATACTGACTACAATTCACCAAATTCTTTAAGAGGGAATCCCTCTCGCTGTAACTGATCCGACTGCATTAAAGACATATATAACCTGTAATCTTGTAGCATAGTGCTTCCAGGTATGAGCCAGAGCCACACACAACTTTTATTTTGTAGTAAGCAACAGGAAGCCTGAGGTTGTAGACAATAAGCTCACAGAAGTTCTCACAAGAAAAAGAGAAGAAAAGTCCTTCTGATTTTGTGGAGACAAAGTATAACAACCACTGGTTGAACTACAACCCTCGGGCGGTCCTCGGCCTTTTTAGGATTTTAAACAGATTCTGCTCCTTGAAGACTTCCTGAAAACTCAACATGGAGACATCAATATTTAGGTTTGCATGTCTGAAAATAAACAGTAACTGAGAATCCCCGCGATATCTGGAATCCGATACCAGCATGAACAAGACCAAAGTGAAATGAAACACTTCCATATCCCTGTTATAAGACAGTATTACACTAATTATAATTGTACACACTAAACCCTGTTCTGCGCTAAAGTTTTATCAACTCGTTTTCTATTCCATAACTGTTCCCGTAGATTAAGTAAATCCACAAACTCAGACACAGAAGGAGCTCTCTTGATGGGCTCTCTGTTCTAGACGCCTGTGAGCTGTGACGTAACCATGACAGGCATTGCACCACACACACACACACACACACACACACACACACACACACACACACACACACACACACACGTAACCTCAATCTAAGGCTCTCTTACTCCATTAGAAATGCGTAAAAGCAGTTATCTGACATGATGGCTGTAGAGATTACGTGTTCTAACAGAGGAGATGAACACAGTCTCACTGATATTAACTTTGGGTTTCTTGCACATGATTCAACACAAAACTGCTGACAACAACCTTACCATGTTAACACAGTTCAAAGAGTTTGAGGTTCCCACATCTTATTTCTCACTAAAGATAACAAATAAAACGGTGGTTATAAAACATGTTTTCAGCCAAGAATGAAAAGAAAGATGCATTATGTTACTCACATGCATTTGTTTACATCAGACTTCGAACCTCATTGGGCCTTAAAATGATCACGTGTCAATCTAGCTGGAGATAAATGCATTGTAGAAAAAAAAACAGTGGAAAGACCTTTAAATTTAGAGTTTAGTAAAGTTCCCCATCATAGTTACCAGATTTAACCAACACAGGATGACCTTTCATTTAGTGACTTAACAAGTAGCTACTAACCATTTGTGGATGTAATTCAATCTAATACTGTTGGTCGAGATAATCTGATAATTAGCATGTTAGCATTCCAAATTATTATTGAAGCCTCCAGTCCACCAAGTTCTACTGACCCTATTGACCTCATCTTTTAATTTTACTGTCAAAACAAACAGGTAATACCAAAGCTTGTGACTGTAGCAACCACTGTTAAACTTTCCAATGGCAACACGGCAAAAATAACATCACTGCTAATAACTGAAAACCTGAAAGACAAACCTACCGATGTGACTGTTCCACTCATAAATCCAGTGTACAGACACCAGCCTCAACGTCTGTCTCCGCTGTCCTCGCAGACGAGAAAACATCCAAAGCGACAGGGACAAAGAGAGAGAGAGAGAGAGAGAGAGAGAGAGAGAGAGAGAGAGAGAGAGAGAGAGAGAGAGCAGTGAAATAAATTAAGAGATGAGAGCTGTTGCCATGCGAGACGGAGCCCAGTGCTGAGCAACACACACACACACACACACCTACCTCAATAGGCGACACACCTCTGCATACTGTGAAATACATACCACAAGTCAAATTCACACACACACAAACACACACTGAAACACACAAAAGGTTGAATGCTGACTAACTAACTAGACCATAACAAGCTTTAATGTCACCAACAACGTCAAAAATCAGAAACTGTTTGAGTAAATTGAGAGCCGATAATATGTAAAAAATAGAAACAATTCAATTCAAGTTGCCTGAAACAAAAGCAGGACTGGTGGAGTTCAGTAACTCTCTGGTGTCTCATCAGACCAGTGGCTCCACTGACACTAGATTGTGTTTTCTGAACCTTTACACACACATTTCATTCTGCTTCTCAACTGCAGTTTCTGCTCCCCAATCAGGAATTTCTGATGCAACTAGTATACAATGTTCATGCAGATTGCAACAACAACACCGGTGGTCTAGTATCAATATTTGTACTTTCTTGTAATGTTATTGACCTTCGTCTGGATTAGCCTGAACAATAGCAAAAAGAGAATAA